AGGATGGAGAGGGGGGAATCGAGCAAGTGGAGAAACGTCGCGCATCAGCGAACTCACGCGCATGCGCAGAGACGTTTGGGATGCAGCAAGACGCACCTGTACTCGAACATGACGTGCACGGCGCAAAAGAGGGCGGTGCATGCGCCCAGCATGAATTGCAGTCCTGTCGTGTCGGTAGGAGGATGCAAAGGCAAGCCGATAGTAAGTATAAGTATCGATGGAGGCACATCCACTCGAGATCGCATCCGCTTGGTTTCACGCTTCGTCGTCGCATGGTCCCATCCAGTTCGAGCGAGGGGGAGAAAGCAAGAGCAACTCACCGTCCCAGCTGCCGACGAGTTGATTGAGCAGGTATTGAACTCCGTCCAAACCTATGGCAAAGCCTACCAGATTGGCGCTCATCATGAGGAGGATATTGAGTACTCCGCCAACGGCGCATACATGTCTGTACCATGATCTTTCGCCAAACTGTGGTGCGCCAAGGGCGATAGGAATAGCCAATAATCAGCAGAAGAAATAGGGGGCTGACGGTACGCACAAAGAGGTGGGCAGTAGAGGAACGGCCTTCGCCGGCAATAACATCCCAACAGCTGCATCGTAAACTCCCTTTACGGGAACTCCATCAAGACGCACCTTTTTGGCAGGCAACACTTTGGAAGCGGCCAGTTCTGGAATGATGAAGAGCGTGACCAACCATCCCCATGTGAGCAATTTCAAACTGAGGTCGTGCCAAAGTGCCACAAAGGTGAAGACGAGGAGCGTGGCGAGCACGACGTTGGATGAGCCTCCCAGGGGTACATAAATGTACCTATTCGTGCAGCGGAATGGCGTAGCAATGCGTCGAATGACCAGGACATTTAGAAAGTGGGAAAAGGGAGGGAAGCAAGGAACGTCTTTCCAGATGTCAGTCCAGCACTGCAGGGCTCGCGCTGAGTAACAGTCGTCATCAAACGATGCCTCTGACTCGTTTCTCACCGCACTATCCACAAATTGTAACTCCTATGCCAACTCCTCCAAAAGCCCAGCGTCGAATAATTGTTGGCCATGCACCTGACCATATTCTCCGGCGCTTCCACACCATTCAGCAGCGCCCACATCCTAAAGAAGCGCCAAGGGATGAGCAGCTGTTGGAGGGACGAGCGCGCGCGTCGTCGATTCGCGTCGTATCAGAAAGCAGACAGGGGCAGCACTCCCAAGTCAGCAAGAGACGAAATTGCTGTGGCGGCGCGCGCGCCGCGGCGCGCCCCCCACTCACCTTGAGCCAAACGATGATCAGGTTCCAAAATCCAATCATGGATAATTGCATCGGTGTAGCTCCGTTCCAAGCCTTCGAATCCTTGATCGCATTCACATACACGAAATGCAGTATGAGTTCCATCGTGAACAAGCAGCCGACAAATCTGACTGCATAAGCCGCTCTGTCCCTGACAGTCAAATGAGGCTGGCAATCTCTCTGCGCGACTTGTCGCGTAAAGTCGTTAAAGGTCATAATGGGACCTGCAACGAAGAGCGGAGGATAGAGAATGTAGAGCAGGTAGGCTGACCAGCTGTACTGATCCCTCTTCAAAGGTGTCAATGCGCGCTTAGAAGCGGGCGGAGAAGGCTCGTAAAGCCTCACAGGTCGCAATCTGGCCCAGTGCAGATCCATTGCAAAAGAGACCAATCTGAGCATGGAAATGTTAAAGTTGATTTGCCAGCGAGGTAGTAGACCCGTATAGTTGTCCAAGAAGCCCAAAGCTGGCGTCCAGACGGACCAGACGAATCCTTCGTTCCAATGAACCAAGAAGAGTGCCCCTATATTGACTGTCCAGATCAAGATCGGAGCGTAGACTTTGCCCGCGCATGTTTGTGCAAGCACAAAATTGAGCGCGAGCAGAAGAAGCAGCTTGACAGCGTTGCTCCCGTGCAGCGCTAGGATGAAGAGGCCCGTGAAGAGGCCCAAAAAGATGCGTCGAGATGGGTGCGTGTTTGGACTTGCGGAGCGCGTCAACTCTGTCGGCCTGTCGAAGAGCATCGCGACCAATTTCGAGAGGCCCGTGTGGCCCAAAGCTAGACATAGCAGCAAGGGAAAGTAGTCTCTAAAGGAGCGGTATTGGAAATCCGAGTCGTCCTGTCGAGTCAAGAGAAGGGCATGGATGTGAGCTTACTGAAAGCGCATGAGACCTAATTCGAGTGGTGCTAGCCGGCTCGTATCTTGTCTGCTCACCCTCATCCTGCCAGCGATCCAGCCCCTCTTGAGGTGAGAGGAGAAGCGCGGATAATTTGGATTCGTTTCTGATGTGGGGAAACCACGTAGGTCAATCGCATGATGATCAAATTTAGCCGAGCTTGCTCAGAGCTCGTAGCTTTGCGCGATGATGCTCGCCATGGCAGCAAGCGTGCGCCCTTGCCCAGTGCATACTAGTCTCCACTGCCCCTCGTCGAAGTTGGGTCTTCGACTCACCCTGACTGAGCTGAAGAGGTACCCAGACCATGTAAGGCACCACGATCAGAAATACCAACAAGTACGCTCGAAATTCCCAGCTCTTCCATCTGCTCTTTGCCGGATTTCTGGTTTCCCGTGTGTTCCTGGCCACGCTCTGCGTCGAAGCTAGCGAGGTGTGCGGCTTGTGATCTGGACCTGACGCACGGGGAGAAGGGTGGAAGCGGGCAGAGGCGATGCGTTGATGCGTGGATGGAAAAGTGTCGGACGGAAAGTGATGGAGGGATGTTTGAGAGATGTGCGAGCTGATGGGCATGTATGCGCCTCTATCGTGATGTGAGCCGTCCATAGCACTTGCCTGACCTGCCATGTCGACATTCGAAGGCGCCAATGACGTATCGATGGTAAGAGACGCTATTCCTCTACTACCACTCAACATTGCCCAAAATCCTCCACTTGCAGCTTTATCCTTTCCAGTCCCAAAGTTTGAGCTTGAGCTTGGACCCATCGTGTCCTCCGAAAGCGGCACTTTGGAGTAGCCTGAGCGGTATGAGCCCGCTTCAGGTTGAGCGTGAGCGTGAGGTTGAGAAGAGGATGAAGGGCCGTAGCCGGAGCTGGAGGACAAGGGCGAGGGCGAGGGCAGCGTGTTGATCTGCTTTGAGTGGAGATGGATGGTGTGCATGGGCAACATGGAGACTGGACTTGCCTGCAGATTGATAGCTGCATGCACATGACACAATCTCGTCTCGACTCTGCGCTTGGACTGTTGTGCACACACTCTGTTGCAAAGATCCGCGTCAATCAAGTCGGCCCTTGAGGATGTGGATGGATGGATGGATGTAGTAGTGTGGCGAGGAGGCGTGCGTGAGTTGAGCGCGAATCAAGAACATCGTGTGCGTGTGTACGGTACGGTACAGTCTGAGTACAAGTGCGAATGAATGTGCACGGCCCACGCGCCAAAGAGCCACAAAGTGAATCAATCCAATGCATAGGAAAGATGGGTGCGGACGACAAGCATCACGTGATGCTTACCTGGCGCCACGCCCGAGCAGCGAGTCACAGGTCACGCGGGAGGAAGAATGGAAGGCAGGCGGCAAGGCGGCAAGCGAGAAGTCAAAAAGGGCGACCGCGACGATATTCGCTTGATTGTTGAATGGAAGGATGTGAATCACGATCACGAATAACGGATCGTCATGTCAACGATTCAAAGATTCACCATTCAACATTCGCGCACACATCCATCCTCTCCCCTCAAGTAGGGCACAGGATAGCACAGCACAAAGACGCTAGCTAGTAGTAGGATTAGTCAAGGTGATAGAAGCCAGAAACTAACATTATCAAGTCGTGCAAAGCACACCAGCCACTGCCTGGGCTCAACTTTGCGATGACCACATCTTCCTCCTCCTCCTCTTCCCTCGAGCTGGGTGCGCCCACTGCTGCTGCTGATCGCAGATTCAGTATTCGCGTACCTTGCACCTCATCCAACATAGGTCCAGGATTCGACGTGGTGGGCTTATCCCTTTCGCTCTACCTCACGCTTCAAGTACGCATCTCCAACCATTCCACCTCCACCTCCACCTCCTCCCTTAACCAGCATCCAACGCTTCATTATACGGGCATTGGATGTGAGGATGCGCCTTTGGATCCCTACAAGAACCTCATCACCCGTTGCGCGCTCTATGTCCTGCGAGCGAATGGTAAAGGTCCGCTATTCCAACCCGGCATCTCCATCCACGTGCACAACCAGATCCCCTTTGGACGAGGCTTGGGCAGTTCGGGTGCTGCCGTCGTAGCTGGCATCATGCTGGGCGACGCGTTGGGCGGATTAAAGTTGAGCAGGGATAGATTGTTGGATCATGCCCTCATGATCGAACGTCATCCGGACAATGTGACTGCAGCATTGATGGGCGGTTTTGTAGGCTCTTACCTCTTGGATCTCTCAAAGGAGGAGAGGGCAAAGGTGGATGTGCCTCTCAGCGAAGTCTTGCCTGCCTGGCCCGTTGATGCCAGCGCTCATTGGGGTCCCAATCCCAACACTCCTCCCACCGGCATCGGTCATTACATTCGATTTGGATGGGCGCAGGAGATCAAAGTCATTGCCATCATTCCCGACTTCGAAGTGTCGACTGCATTAGCAAGGAGCGCTCTGCCCGACACTTACTCCAAGGCGGATCTAGTGAGTGCGGGCGGGCGCGGGGCAGCATAGCAACATGGGACCTGGTGCATGTTTTGCTCGAGTCGGAATGCGCCGCTTGCTTGCTTGCTTGCTTGCTTGCTTGCTTGCTTGCTTGCTTGCTTGCTTGCTTGCTTGCTTGCTTGCTTACTTGCTTGCTTACTTGCCTGTCTCTCTCTCTCTCCCCTCTCTACACTCTTCCATCTCACGCCAAAGATTTTCAATCTACAAAGACTTGCCGTCCTCACTACCGCACTAGCACGTTCTCCTCCCGATGCCTACCTCATCTTTCAAGCGATGCAAGATCGCGTTCATCAACCTTATCGTAAAGAGCTAGTGAGTCGAGCAAGGGATTTAGTGGACCGCAGGGGTGGGGGTAAATAGTGTTGTGGAGCCGCTGCTCGGAAGCAGGGTGTTCTAAACCCTTGCAACCTGCAAGCCCTTGCCTGAATGACGCGCGCGCTTGGCCTGCAAATCCCTAACTCTCCGTGTGCGCTCTGCAATGCCCCCCTTGCGCCACGCTGCCAGATCCCAGGTCTTCCGCGCATCCTCTCCTCCGTCACACCAAGCACGCATCCAGGTCTACTAGGCATCTGCCTCTCCGGAGCAGGTCCCACAATCCTAGCCTTGGCCACGCACAATCTGGAGAGCATCTGCGAAACGATTGGTAAGGAATTTGAAAAGGAAGGAATCAGTACGAGAAAGGAGGTGCTTTGCGTTACGAGCCAGGGAGCTGTTGTTCAGCAAGAAGATTAGCGGGGAGGTGGGCAGCGAGCGTTGGCTTGGCAGCAGCTAGGGGTTGCGTGCGCACTTGCAGTTGCAGCTGGCAAGCTGTGCAGCTGTGAGATGGGATTTGGAACTTGAAACGGGGGTTGAAAAAGCGGTGGCAAACAATCGAGAGGGGGGCGTGCGTTGGAAGCCGCGCAATGCACAGTGCAGATGGCGCTATGGTGCTTTGGGCGAATGGAGCACTTGAAATGGCAGGAGAGGTAGGGGTCCGATGGCGCATCATCTCGTGCGGTAAATTTACTCAGCGTGGGGATTGTGTGTGCGTCGTGCACCAGACATTCAGACGATGCATCCATCCCCCCACTCTCCTCTCTCTTCCGTCCAAGTAAATGGCTGAACCACATGGCGCATCGACATCGAGTAGATGCGGCGAGGCGGCGGCGACGGCGGCGGTGGTATATTTGTAGGAGGAAATTGTGTAAATATGCATTCATGTCATTCGCTGCTTCTCATCCGGCCAATCGGCCGGTTTTCCTCAGCGCAGATCCAAAGATCCAAAATTGGCAGGGAGGGGGGAGTCCCGCGAAAACGCAGTGCGCAGTGCGCAGTGCGCGCGCACGGTAAGGAATGCATCGTCGATGGTGCTCTGCATCAATGAGTCGTGAGTACAAAGTGGGGAGCTGCGAATCTGCGATGGAACACCCATGGCAAAGGAGCCCACGTTATTTGCCCTCTTTGCCGCTTCGTATCAACGGCAAAGGCTCGGTGGGAAGGCTCGGTGGGAAAGGCTATTGAATCTTTTCCCAACGCAACGCAAATTCGAAGTGGGGCCGGGCTGGGCTGGGCCCTTGGCTTGGCCTTCGCAGCAATCGAAATCGGAACCACGTAAATGTGGGGGGGGAGGGGGGTTGTCAACCAACTTGCATTTCCTCTCTCCTTTTGCCCGCTGTTTGCTTTTTATCCTTGCCGTTCATCCATCCTTCCTGCGACGCTTGACGGTCCCAGATGATAGACAAGGAAACGCGTCATTCGTAGATGGCCCATTCGCCGCGCGCCCACTCCAACCCTGCACGGCTCGGGGACTACCTGGAATGCGTGCGTGCGCATTCCTTTTGCTATTGTCGCTGTCGTTGCGCCGCTCGCTGAGAATATACATCCCTGGACAAGTCGAGCTTTGCGGAATGCCCTGCTTCGACGTGTCACCGAAGCGATTTGGAGGCGTTGTGCGACTGAAAGGCGCGGGGACGGGGCGCGTGTGAGCGATGGGTGCGAGTGCGGATAGAGACGCAATTCCTCTTGTAAGGTCCCGCACAAACACGACGTCTGATGCCTGACAAGAGACACGGCGACAAGCAACGAAGGCGAGGCGCATAAACTCACGCGCACAGGCCGACTCCTCTGCGCCGTGAGCGTGACCAAAAGATTCTTGAGATTAGCAAGCGTATGTCGAATATCGAGCACGGTGATCTTGTTCAAATTCATCAGCTGAACCGATGATAGCGTCAGCAGACAAGAGTGGTGGGAAAAAAAGAGGGGGGGGCGTGTTTGGAAGCAAGGCAAAGCAAAATATAAAGGCAAAACATTAGATATGCAATCCGAGTCGAAGTCGAGATGCGTTTACCTGCGCTGCGCCGCACTCACTTGCTCTACGTCCTTGTTGAGTAGAAAGACGGCATATTCGTACCTGTAATGCTCCACTCCTTTTGCATAGAGCGGGAAGCTGAGGCGGCAAAAGGGGGTTTGGGGCCACAGAGGAAAAAAGGCAAGGTTGAGCTCCAAGACAAAGTGCGAGCTGGAACATTTGTACAGCGGCAAAGCTGAGCGGCCGAGATCTTTCGGTCACATCTGCCAAATGTGTGTCCTCGACACCATTTACCCCTCCGCAGATCGTGGTGCTCAAGAAGGGGCAGGCTGCACCTGCGCACAACTCACGTTCTGGGACCCGTCATGACGCTTATAGGATCCTTGATGACGGCTCTACTGCCAGCCGTAGCGATGACATAATGGTTTGGAACGTTCAAGTAGTGTGCCAAGAGAATGACGAGTTGAGCCACGTGGCCCAAAGCGGAGGAACAAGTATCGTCGTCCTGCAGCTGCTGTTCTTTTGTGGTCTTGGCGCTGGAAGAGCTTTCGAGAGCTGCATCGTTGGATAGAGGTATACGACAGATGCTGAAGAGCAGATCGCAAGCGGAGAGAAGATCGATAGGATAGATGATCTCGAGCGAACGAAGCAGTGAGGCTCGTCGATCGTACAGAGCCCCCTTTTGCTCTTCCTTTGTCCTCCTGGGCGCCCCGATGATCGAGATACGGGAAGCGGTGATCAGTGCCAACGGGACACGTTCCGCGCGCGCGTTTCGGGATGCAGATCGCCGCTCACTTTAAAGTCTCAATTTCATCCCCGGTACGCCTCAGCGCGCGCTCTTCCGCCGCGCTGGCTCTTCGTGCAGTTTCCAATCTAGCTCTTCTCCTACTCAATGCCTGTCTCCTCTCCAAGAGCGTCGCACGCGCTGCCATACCGTATCGCTTCTCAGTCCATGCGCAGCGCTGGACGCAAAGGACAGAACCTCGTCGAAACGCAATTCAGCTCACCTCTTTTCACTTGCTCTTTTCCTCGCTCCTTGTCCGCTCGAAGACCTCTGAGCGCTTCCTTCAAGCTGGCCTTTTTGAGATCCTAATGCGCATTTGAATTCAGGCTCAGCTTACATCTCCACGCCTTTGGTGCCAATGCACGCATCATTGCGTAAAGTTGGCCCTCCCCCCATCGACTCACAAGCATGCCCACAACGCCTCCGTCTAGCAGCAACTCATCCGTCCATCTCATCAACCTGATCAATTCTTCTCCTTCTCGCACCCTCTCTCGTCTGACCGCCAGCACTTTCTCAAGCTCCTCCATCTCGTAGCCAGCAACCATGCGCGTCTCTCTCAAGCTCCTCTTGAACACGTCAGAAGTAGCGCGCGTCGCTTTGGGTCTGGAATGACCTTCTTGCCTCTTCGGTGCCTTAACAGCGTGCACTCCCTGCGCGCTGGATATGGCCAGAGCGCCCGAATCCGTGCGTGCGTGCGAATGCGAACTCGAGACGCAAGTTCTGCTGCTGCTGCTGCTGCTGGGCAAGTCTACTCTGTAAAAGACTTCTTTCACATCCGATTCGGATTTGAAACCCAACACGAAATCGTTTTGGCTCCCCGTCAACTTCTATGTGCGCGGAGGGGAGAATCGTATGCGCGAAAGCGGGGTGCGCCAATAATTGGATATCAGCGGCTCTCACTCTCCCTCTCTCTTTACGTTTCTCGGCAGATTCCCCCTCATTTCTACCACGTCTCCTCACTCACATCAAGTTGCAAATCCACCCTTATCAAATCCCTGCAGATCACGTCGGCTTCCCAAGCGCAAGTCCACTCGTGCTCATCGCTCCGCTGCTCTCGCACATCCTCCTGCTCCTCCTCCCCCTCCCCCTGGCCCTCGCGCTTACGCAGCAGAAGCTCATCTCTCCCACCGGCGACGGGCCGTCTCAATAGGCATTTGAGCCTCAAGGGACATTCCCTGCCCCTCGCATCCAGCGCGACGTGTTGCAGAGGTACAGCGCTCCAACTATGATGCACCTTCTCCTTCGAAACATCCAGCTCCACATCCGACAGCTTCCACTCGCCACTCTTCTCCTTCCATACTTGCACGCCGAGAAGGATCAGCTGCGCATCGAGCAGATGTGCGCTGAGTGGAGCATCTCGTTGTTGTTGTTGTTGTTGCTGCTGCTGCTGCTGCTGCTGCTGCTGCTGCTGCTGCTGCGATGCATCGCATGTTGACGACGACGCCGACGACGACTCGTGCTCCCGCTCCCGCTCCTTACGGTGGAGGCAGGCACGGACCATGGATTTCTCCTGAGCTCCAGCAACTCCTTCAAAATCCTCATTCTCATCCTCATCCTCATCCTCATCTCCTCTCATCCGCCCATCCCCCTTGCCTCGCTCTCCACTAGCAGCTCGCACTGTAGAAGCGCTGGACTTGGATCTGATCCTTGCACATCTTGCAGATGATGGATTTTGCTGCTGTGGATGCGATGTCGGGGTGCGGGATAGGCTTGCATCGGGTCCGGATGCGGGTCGACTTGGACCTGCTTCGGAAGCGTGGGGGTTGAGGGGGAGGGGTAGATGAGCATTGCGCAGGTTGAGGGAATACAAGTGCCAGAGCGAGGGCTATGATTGTGATGTTAAGTTCAAAGGGGGAGGGAGGGACAAGGGTTGGTGTAAGTATGCTATGCTTCCGACATGTCAGCTTGCCACATGTCAGAGTCGCATCAGAAGAAGAATAAGAAGAAGCAGAGACTGACCCCTGTTTCTGATGCCTCCTCCTCCTCATCACCATCATCATCGTCATCGTCATGCTGCGTGTGGTGGTCGTTATGCTTGTGATGATGCTTGGATGCGGATGCGAAGGTGGAAGAAGGGAGAGCATGCGCATCCGCATCCGCATCCGCATCCGTATCCGTATCCGCGCGACCTTCTTGAGCCTCGACATCGCCCTGCTCTTCCAGTGCAGATGTGGGATGCGATCCGTCTCTCATGCTCGTGCTTGTGCTTTGCGAACGGGATGCGATCGAGTAGCTAGAGAGTGAGGGTGAGGGTGAGGGTGAGGGTGAGGGTGAGAGCGTTGCTGAGGCAGCAAGAGGCGAGCGAGCCGCTGTGCAACGCTTTGACCAAAGTCACCAACATCATCATCACTCCAACGGGCGGGGCATCGCACCCACACAACGCACGCAACGCGACAAGAAGCTGCTGCTGCTGCTGCTGCTGCTGCTGCTGCATATGCTGCACGATGCTGTTGCTTTTAGCGCGCGCGCTCCGGCCGGCTTACAAGTCACGATCACGTGTTCCCCTTTCATTTGCACTCGTGACTCTCCTTTTGTGGATTTTCATTCGTGATTTTTTTTGGCGGTGGGGTGCGGTGCGGTGGGGTGCACTTGTATTCTGATTGGCTACGCTTGGCTTCCGCCATGCTTCTTGCTCTTGCTCTTGCTCTCCACTCTTCACTTTCTCCCAGCATCCACCTCGACAATACGCACCACACCGCACTGCAGCCACGTAGACGCTCCACAGCGCACCACAACCACCACCCCCAACGCATTCGCATTCGCATTCGCATTCGCGCGCCCATTCCGCTCAGCAAAAAATGTCCGAATCGGAATCCATAGGCTCCACCAGCTACGCCTCCTCCTACGCCTCTGCATCCGGCATGGAGTCGGATTCCAACTATAGCACTAGCAGTGTAGATCCCCATTCTGCAAGCGGCAGCAGCAAAGGCAAGGCGAAGCAGGACAAGGAAGATAGAAGGCGTCGTAAATTGGAAAAGAGGCAGAGGGAAAGGGAAAGGGGATCGAATGGTGTTGCAGGCGCTCATCTGAGAGGATTGACGGTGGATCATGAGAGGAGTGGGGGTGGAAGTGGGAGTGGGAGAGGAGGTGGAGGAGGAGGAGGAGAAGAAGGAGAAGAGTTGGATGTGCACGTGCACACGGACATGTCGAAAGAGGAAGCGACTTCGGCTTTTAGAGTCGTCTATGCCAGTTTCAATCTGGCCATTCCTCCTTCTCTGCTGCACGATCCCATGACGGCCCTGTTGGAAATCTGGGATTCCCTACTCATCCGGTGAGTGTGCTGTGCTCCTGCCCCTCATGGCATTGTTCGGCTGCTCCTTCTCCCCTCACTTGCTCTCGCAAGCACATGCTGAACGCATACACCCAACGCGCGCGCGAGCAGATACATTCCCCAATTGTCTGGAGTCCTCATTGCGCATGATGAGCACATGTTTCTTAGAAGCAGCGCTGCCATCGATGGCGATGGCGCTTTCGCCACCATACCCGCAGCCATCAAGGCATTGGTCTGGGCTCCTCAAGTAGGTCAGAGGCTAGGTGAGTATTTGTATCCTTGCCCTCATCCCTCCCTCTTCTCCTTCCTACCAAGGTACGCGTTCCCCGAACCGCAATCTCATCTCGCTCACACGCCTCTCTCTCTCTCTCTCTCTATCCTCTTCTTTCTCTTCGTCTACCCCTTGGGCAAATAATCTCGAATCGCGCGCGAACAATACAAAGAGGGCAAATTGACTCTGTCCACCTCTTCGCACGTCTCGCTACTGGTACACGGAACATTCAACGCATCCATCTCCTCCATGCACCTGCCCACTTCCGAATCGCTAGCCCTTGCAGAATCCAACAGCACCTCTTTCGAACGACCCAATCGGGGGGCGCAAGTGTGGAGTTTCGTCGAAGGCTATGATTTGGATGGCGTGGGTGAGCATGCGCGGGCGGGTGCAGAGTCAGAGCATCATCAACAGCAGCAGCAGCAGGAGGAAGAAGAAGAAGAAGGGGATGGGAGGAAAAGTACGGGGTGTTGGGCCAAGGAAGATGGAGGTAGATTGGGAGGGGAAAATGGTAGGATAGTATTTACCGTCATCGGGTGAGTCGAGCGTGGGAGAGAGGAGCGCACGCTTGTGGTAGGAATATCGATGACGAAGCGCAAAAGGGGGAGGGGAATGTGTGTATTTGGGGATTCGATGAGTTGTTCTTCCTCTTGCGCTCATCGTCGCTCGTGCCCCCGCTTTTTCTCCTTTTTTTTTCGGTTCCCCAACACGCATTGGCGCATTGCCGTTGCAGTCTCACGATCACATCCCACACATTATCTCTACACGGCTCTCTGCTTCCCTCTCCCTTTTCCCTCCCTCTTCCTCACCATTCCCTTCCGACGCACAAATCTTTTCTTCCTTTCGCCTCGCGGTACGGAGCAGCGTCGGGACGATCGGGCAGAAGGGGGAAAAGGAGCACGAATGGTGGGCATGGGATGGAGGAGGAGGAGGAGAAGGAATTTCAAGGAGCTGCAGCTGGAGCTGGAGCTAGAAGGGTCAGATGGACGGGAGTGGACTTTGATGAGATTGCCAATGCTGATGTGGGAAGAGGAAAGGAGGAGGGAGAGGGGAGCGAGAAGGAAGGGTCTGCTTTGGCTTATGAATCAGGAGAGGAGGATGAGAAGAGGAGCAGCGCAACGAGGGGAGAGACGAAGGAGGAGAGAAGGGCTAGAAGAGAAGAGAGAAAGAGGAAAAAGCAACGTCTTTTGGATGAGAGCAGAAGGAAAAAAGAAGCGAAAAGAGCAGCTTCTTCTTCTTCTTCTTCTGAGAAACGAAAATTGAAGGAGAAGGAGGAGGAGGAGGGAGAGTCGGTTAGAGGAAGCGGTAAGGAGAAGAGGAGAAAGGTGGATGGGTGATTCGTGGGGGCGTCCGGTGACGAGAGTAGGGTGGGGGAATCAGAATATGCGTTTGCAGAAGAGGTGAAGGAGAGAAGGGGGAGAGGGAACGCTACGATGAAGTAAATTCTACACGTCCCGTCATGCAACCCACGATGCCCACCTGCGAGCGAAGAGGGAGGGGGGGCAGGAAATTGTACAAGAAAGTCTTCTTTTTTTTTTTTT